TTTCATAACATAGTGAATGTAATTAATGTTACTGAATTGTACACTCAAAAAGATGGAAATGGCAAATGTTGTGTTATATATACACACGTATGTATATATAAAAATTATCACAATAAAAGATAAAAAGACTAACGCTTAACAAACCTCCCAATAATGTAACTACAACTGGATTTTATAATTTAAATCTATGGCATGCTTCAACAATGCCACAGACTACTAGATCTACACTGTGTAACTGTAAGGACAGGATCTTGTTCCTAGTACCAAGTTCAGCCATTGTGTGAACTGGTTGGAAAACCAGAAGGAACACTTTAACTCCTCTGCCTATGCCTTGATAAAGAAACAGGTGGCACTATGGAGAAGAAGTAAACACCAAACTGCATTTTAAAACCAGGGACTCAGTCAATATACCACTGGTCTTACAACGAAGTGGCCACTAGGTGGCAGGAGGAGCATAACATTAGACAGGCGAGTTTTCTACAAAACTAAATCAAACCCATTGCCATCAAATGGATTCCAACTCATAACAACCCTACAGGACAGAGTAGAACTGCCCTGTAGGGTTTCCAAGGAGTGGCTGGTGGATCCGAACTGCCAGCCTTTTGGTTAGCAGTCAAGGTCTTAATCACTGTGCTGCCAGGGCTCCGAGTTTTCTACACTGCTTTATAAATTAAGGTAACTTGGCATTTTCTCAAATTCTTTTCTATAGGAATACATAATCTTGCTAAACCGTTAAAATTTCTGAAAAAATATTTTACTATTTTTAGGGTGGTATATCATAAATGAGTCTAAACTAAAAACTTTGTCTTATTGAAAATCACACTGTAATACTTATTTTAAATAGCGTAATAAATACAGATTTCAAACTTTCCTCATTCAACATTTAATACTGTTGTATGCCAATGAGTAGATATCGATTCACAGCCACCCCACATGACAGAGAGGAAATGCCCCATAGGATTTCCCAGGCTATAATCTTTACGAGGAGCCCTGGTAGTGCACTGATTAAGCGCTCAGCTGCTAACCAAAAGGTTGGCAGTTCGAACCCACCAGCTGCTCCATGGGAGAAAAATGTGGCAGTCTGCTTTCATAAAGATCGCAGCCTTGGAAACCCTTTGGGGCAGTTCTACTCTGTCCTATAGGGTCATTATTAATTGGAATTGATGGCAATGGGTTTTGGTTTTTTCATCTTTACGGATGCAGATCACCAGGTCTTTCTCCCACAGAGCCGCTGGTAGGTTCGAACCGCCGACCTTTTGATTAGCAGCCGAGTGCTTAACCATCGCACCACCAGGGCTCCTTCAAATTTAATAAACACAACTTAAATATGCTTTAAACACATAAGTAGAGTCATACTGTCAATGAATTAAATAAAAAATAACACCCTATATATTAAAGTATATTATGATCCAGGTTTTAATTTTGTGTAATGCTATAAAAATAAACAAAGCCGCTTTTAACCCATGAAGGTTGGAACTGTGTTTTAAAAAATGTATCATTTGTTCGTATAAAATAAACAAAATTAAAGGTTATATTCTGAAAGCACTTCTCTGCAAGTAATACCCTCTGAGAGGATTCCTAACATACAACATGAAAACTGGGTAAAACCATCACCATATTTTCTCTTCCTGACACTTACTGTAGAAGTACAAGAGGAAGCTTGACGTGCTATATAAGAATATTGATGAAATGAATGGAACTTAAAAATGTGATGAACATTTTGAGGCAAATTTGCAAAATTAGGAACATGTGCACCTTTATCAAATGGAATCTCAGTATCAGTGTTCCTTCTGCTTTCTGTCTGCGGGCAGAAATTAAATGCTGTATAACTAAGAATACCAAATATACATACAAAACATACAATGGTCAAAAGCATCTTATGACTTGAATGAGCTAACAGCTGTCAAGGCTACAAGAGCAATGTTCTTTTCATATCCTATCAGCACTCAAGACGACTTCGCTCTCCTGTATGATTTTCACTTTATAAACGTGTTCAGTAGTATTACCTTGCATGGTGGGAAGATGGGGAAATGTACCCAAGTATACAGATTGCAAATGATTCTTCCCTTACATTCCTAGATGACTTTGCAGGTATAAATTGGTGCCTGCCTTAGAAAATAATGCCCTAGCAGTGTCTCTTCCCACTGATCCCCCAAGAGGGCCTCCGTTTTGTGTTAACTTCTGAAGATGAATGATTACCTGCCAAGAGTTGCAAACTCAGAAGCCAGGTCAGCCTCTGATGGTGAGTTTTTGACCTCTACTACGCGGGGAGACCGAGAAACCAAAACTTCTTGCCAAGCAATTTCAGGAGCTCCAAATCAGCCTCAAGGACCCCTGGGGCTGAGACCCCCTGGGCAGCCAGAGAAGGGAGGGGGCCTCACTGTTGGTGGATCTAGGCTTGTGTGCAGGCCTTGGGCTGGTCCAGATGAATAAGTGACTGAGTTATACATTAACTCTTGCATATGGTTCACTCAATATGTACACAGTAATATTTTAATGATTACCTTTTCACTAATTTCGTTAAACAGAAAATAAAATTCCTACCTTTAACATAAAGAACCCCCTAGACTTTTGCACAGTGGGAAGTGCGAACAATTAATGCACTCACCTGTTAACCTAAAGGCTGGAGGTTCAAGTCTACCCAGAGGCGCCTTGGAAGAAAGGTCTGGTGATCTACTTCAGAAAAATCAGCCACTGAAAACCTTATGAAGCACAGTTCTACTCTGACACACATGCGGTCAGCATGAATTGGAATAGACTTGACAGATACTGGGGGCAAAAAAAAGATCTTTGCAAATCCTTTTTTTTTTTGAGGGGGAGGGAGGGCTGGGGACAGACCTGGATATTTATTAGGCAGAAGAAATGTGAACTCATTATCTCACCAAGCCCCTTTTCATGCAGGAAGGCGGTGAGGCCCAGAGTGGTTCGGCCCTGCCAGTTATACCAGTCAGAGCTGGCGACCGGAAATGTTCCCCAAACTGGCAGTTAGTCTGTGTCATTACAACCACTCCACAAGGCTTCTTTCAAAGCATGCAAAGGAGCGAGTGACTGGTCATCAATCTGGAGATCTCTGGAAGACAGACGGGCTCTGCAGGTCTGGACCGGCCCGAGGCCTGCACACGAGCCTAGACCCACCAACAGTGAGGCCCCCTCCCTTCTCTGGCTGCCCAGGGGACCCCAGCCCCAGGGGTCCTTGAGGCTGATTTGGAGCTCCTGAAATTGCTTGGCAAGAAGTTTTGGTTTCTCGGTCTCCCCGCGTAGTAGAGGTCAAAAACTCACCATCAGAGGCTGACCTGGCTTCTGAGTTTGCAACCCTTGGCAGGTAATCATTCATCTTCAGAAGTTAACACAAAACGGAGGCCCTCTTGGGGGATCAGTGGGAAGAGACACTGCTAGGGCATTATTTTCTAAGGCAAGCACCAATTTATACCTGCAAAGTCATCTAGGAATGTAAGGGAAGAATCGTTTGCAATCTGTACACCTGGGTACATTTCCCCATCTTCCTGCCATGTAAGGTAATATTACTGAACACATTTATAAAGTGAAAATCATACAGGAGAGTGAAGTCGTCTTGAGTGCTGACAGGATATGAAAAGAACACTGCTTTTGTAGCCTTGACAGCTATTAGCTCATCCAATTCATGAGATGCTTAACTTATGTTCTACTCTAAAAGTAAGTGCAATAACCATCATAAAAATCCCCGCAAACAATCATCATCCAGGGCTGGCAGGTACCAAACGGAATGTTCCAAATGCATTCTAGGCAAAAAAACAAACAAACTGAGAATGAGTGTGTAATGGTCTCTTTGCACAAAGACTTTCCTTTGTATGCATTCTGTTGGGAAGGACACGGGAAACATTTAAAACATAAAGTGAAGAAAGTTATGGGGAATAAAGCGTCTCAAAAATGAAAATTTTGAGAGCACCTAGTAGCTGCACAGAGTGGAACTCTTCCAACTTTCCCAGAATCTAGCACGTAGTAAAAAACCAAAATAACAAACGAATCCACTGCCGTTGAGTAGACTGCAACTCATAGCGACCCTGAAGGACAGAGTAGATGGCACAATCTCTACAAGGAGCCCCGGTAACACAGTGGCTAAGTGCTTGACTGCTAACCAAAAGGTCAGCAGTTCGAATCCACCAGCCGTTCCTTGGAAACTCTACGGGGCAGTTCTACTCTGTCCTTTAAGGTCACTATGAGTTGGAATTGACTCAACAGCAACAGGTTTGGGGGTTTTTTGGTTTGTTTTAATCTTTACAAAAGCAGACTGCCAACATCTTTCTCCCATAGAATCACTGGTCATTTCAAACTGCCGACCTTTCAGTCAGCATCCGAGCACTTAACCATTGGGCAATCCGGGCTCCTGCAGCATACAGTAGGTGATCAATAAATATATTTTGAATGGATGGTGTGGGGAATGCCATCTGCAAGAATTTCAGATGTTAGCAATTCATTGCAAAAGAGATAGACTACTTCTGAATTTGGAAACCAGCTGACTACTGCCATCCATACTAGTACTTGTCACAGTAGCATAATCGGCACAGTGCCACTGGCCTCCTTGAGGCATTAAGGAATAAGCTCAAACACCAGTTTAGTGGCAGAAGTCTCACCTTCCATATGGGAGACATAGGTTTGATTCCCAGCCAATGCATCTCATGCGTAGCCACCACCTGTCTGTCAGTGGAGGACTGTGTGTTGCTATATTGAGCAGGTTTCAGTGGAGCTTCCAGACTAAGACCAGTAAGAAAGGCCTGATAATCTACTTCTGAAAATCAGCTATTGAAAATCCCATGGAGCACAACGGCCTGATCTGGTTGTGATCGAGTCACCATGATTTGCCATGAGTTGGGGTCGACTCAATGGCAGCTAACCACCACCACCACCACCAAGAGAGACATGTGGGCACATGGAAATGACCAGGCGAGGATGAGGGGTGCCGCTATAACAACCACCCCTCACACAACAGCTACCTGCAGAGCACACCCTGCCCATGTCCTCACCTCTTCCTTCTTTTCTTCTGGCCCAGCTGCCCCGCTGAGGCTCAGCTGAGAGTAGCTGCTGATGCCACTGTCTTCATTGCCTTCATCACTACATGGGGTCTGCACCTCATCCGGGAAGGACCCAGAACCCTGCTCCTTCTGAGCAGGACCCTCTGCCCTCTCTTCACTCTCCACTGAACTCAGGGACAGGGCACTGTGATGATTTGGACAAACAAAATTAGCGCTGCACTTGGCATTTCCTGCAACCGGGCTCTGGGGGCTCTGGGGCTTGGGGGTGGTGGGCCGTAGAGGAGTGAGAAGCTGCTCAGATTCAAACGTAAGCTGGCCGGGAGGCTCTGGTTCACCAGCGTCTCTGCTGAGCATGTCCTTGGTAGTCCGGCTTGGTGAGGAGCTGCCAGGGCAAGCACCGGCACTTTGTGATGCCTGGGAGTTTCTGGATTCAAGAGGACACACGGCCGTCTCTACATCCATGTGGGGACCCTGAGAAGTGGCTGGACTGGGATCAGGGGCTGCTGTGAAGGCTGCATCCACGCCCTGCACAGAGGGTGCACACCGCCTTCTATCCAGCTCGGTGCTGGTGGACACCCGGCGGGAGTAGTCATCATGCAGCCTGCTCTTGAGTCGCAGCCTTTGGTTTGAGTCGCTGGGTGAGGGAGCCCCATTCTTGGGACTCTCCCTTTTCCATGCGGCATCTGTGACATTGCTGACAAGTTTTAAGACTCTATCAAAGTCCTTGGCCCTGATGGGGCTTTTCCAGCGTTTTGTCCTTCTCTCTGACCCACTGAACTTCTCAGAGTCAGCAGAGGAACTGCTCAACGTCCTCTGGGGGGCCTGTTTTTCGTGAACCACTTTGAGATCCGTGAGATTGGAGGTGGACTTCCGTTTGAAGGAACTTTTCTTCAGGAAGTTCAAGTTGTCCGTGCTCTTGCTTCTCCTGTAGATGATGCGGTTGTTTTCAGAGTCTTTCACGAGAATCTCACAGATCTTGGGCTCCTGGGTGAGTGGAGACAGGGGCCGGCCGTGGGTCTGAGAGCCATGATGTCTGTCGTAATCGAGTAAGCTGATCCGGCCCAGGCCGTAGGCTCTCCGGATGCTGCGAGACCGGTGTGTGCTCCTCTGGAAGGCGTCGTCCGCCTCCTCCAGGTCGGAGCAGTCTGAGGCCGCACCAGCCCCGGCCTCGTGGGGGACCCCCAAGCGCCCCGCGCAAGAGGGCTTGTTTGCTTGGATTCCGGTGACGGCGCCGTTGGGGAGGGGTTTTCCCGGGTCATCTTCTGAGGCCTCTTCCTTTGAGGCATCGGCTGCTTCTCGGTTCTGAATTCCCTGAAGAACTGAGGACTTTAGTTTTTTAAAAGACCCCATTTTCCGAAAGGAGGCCAGGGCATTCCAAGTGGAGGAGCTTCCCACCAGGACCACAGAGCGCGGCCTCTCGGCGTTCGCGCTCAATCTCTTCCTATTCACAGAGAAAAAGCGCGAGAGTTTGGAAGGGCTGATCTTCGCCTCAAGGGCTTCAGCGTCGCTCCCGCCGTCGCGGCCGCCGCTCCACCCTCCGTTCTGACACGGGGGCTGAGTCACCGTCATGGGTTCCGTGGGCTCGGCGGCCGAGCAGCAGATGGCGGCTCCGTGGCTGTTCTGAGGCATCGTCATGTTCTCGGGGCTGGGGGCGTGGAGCCGCAGGGCACCGAAACTCAGGGCTATGCTCACATCTTCGGCTGCTGGCGCCAGCACCAGACCTTCACTTCCGAGGCCTCCATCTGCCTGGCTCCCACCCGCACTGGGCCCATGGAGCTCCGCCGTTGCTGCCACTACCTGCATCAAGAAAACAAAGGAAGGATTTAGCCACGTTTCCCTACAGAAAAGCCTCTACCAGCAGGCATTAATGGTTTCGCTTAATAATTCCTAAAAGAAAAAAGGCATGCCCCATGACAGGGCTGATCAAATAAAAGCTGTTTAAAATACTGGAAAGTTTACCTTTTTTTCTAATTCATTTTATAATAAATTGATACGCAAATACAAATATATAAACAGTCACTCGGTGGTGCAAAAGGTAGCTGGGTAGCACAAACAAGTTAAGCGCTCAACTACCAACGTAACTACTAACCTTGGTGATTCAAACCCACCCAGCGGCACCACAGAAGAAAGACCTGGCAATCTGCTTTCGTAAAAATTATAGCCAAGAAAAACCATGGAGCAGTTCTACTCTGTAACACATGGAGTCACCTTGATGGCAATAGGTTTGGTTTTTGGTTTAGGTGGCGCAAACAATTACTGCAGTCAGCTGCTAACAGAATGGTTGAAGGTTCAAGTCCACCAGAGAGAGGCACCTTGGAAGAAAGGCCTGGTGATCTACTTCCGAAAAGTCAGCCATTGAAAACCCTATAGAGCACAGTTCTACCGTCACACATACGGGGTAGCCATGAGTCAGTGTCGACTCAATGGCCACAGGTTGGAGATATATACAGGCAGTCCCCAGGTTACAAAAATCTCACCTACAGGCAACTTCTACTTGCCCTTTAATGTTACGTAAATTTGCCCTCACTATGAAACAATTGAACCAACCCCTACTTGCAACAAATTCTTCAGCACAATCACCTTCACTGGCTGCACGTGCAGCTTTTAAATCATTGAACAGCTTCAAGCCTTTCTTGCACTAAAGTAAGGCTAATAAGAACCGTATGTTAGTCGCTGATGAGGCAGGACAAAAGTGTGGAGCAGAACTGAAATTGACATAAAAGCACCAGACTTAATGGTCTGACTGAGACTGGAGGAACCCCAGAAACCATGGTCCCCAGATGCTCTGTTAATGCAGAACTAAAACCATTCTCGAAGCCCACTCTTCAGACAAAGATTATACTGGACTATAAAATATAAAATAATACTTGTGAAGAGTGTGCTTCTTAGTTGAAGCAGATACATGAGAAAAACCATATGTGCCTGTTCCAATTTACCTACAAATTCTTAAAGATACACTCAGGACTAGATCTCATTAGTAACCCAGGGACTGCCTGTATATATATACCCTGAAAAAAAGGAGATAATTATGGGTTGTGCATTCAATGTAATGGTAAATTACTGAATTCACTAAAACTTGTTTAAGAAAATCTTTGGAAAAACTGCCAGAATGGAAAAAGTCGAGGCATTATTCAACACTGTGTCTTCTATTTGAAATGGGAGAACTTTATTATTTAAAAAATATATATGTATATGAACCCTATTTCAAAATGTGTCACAGTGAAAGGCCAGCCTGTGTTAAATGTAACACAGCTAATATGCAAACAGAGAAGAGCGCAGTGCACGCAAGAATCAGCCACAGAGCCGAGATTAATACAAAGATGGTCTCAGCTGCTGACTGCCCGGAGAGGTCTATGAAACCCCTCAGAGCTACAGCATTAGAAATTCAGAAGCAAAAAAATTCACATTGAACAAATACAGCACCTTCTTTCCTATGGCTCTAAAGACCACCAGATCCCTGTGTCCATGCTCTCCTCAACCTCTCCCATCTGGGCAAGACCTGCTCCTCCAAGGGCCAGCTTAAATGCCACACACCCCCACCCCGTCCTCGATAAATGATCATTGAATGAACGAAGGACAGATTAACAGAATCATTGTTAAGTACTCGCTCACATGCCAGGCCCCTGGACTAGATGCTTTAAAAACATCATGCTGCTAGATACTCGTAACAACCTTACCAGGTCAACAGAATTATTCTCATTTTACAGAGAATAAAATAGAGGTGTGGGCAGGTTAGGTAATTTGCCTGGGGGTTGTGCAGCTGCCTGCTTCACAGCCGGTGCTCTTACCCACTGCACTGAACTCAGGAACAAAGAGAGAGGGGCAGAGCTGGGATTTGAACCCCAGGCATCTGACTCCAAGTTCAGTACCCCATGGCATACCCTGCCTTAAACCAAGTCCCAGAAATCCTTATTATGCTAGTCAAGGCCATTACTTCTAAACGCAATATTAAAAGCATGTTACTTTTAAAGGCAGTATTAAAGGCATATTATTCTAAAGGCAATATTAAAGGCAGACGAGGAGGAGGAAGTTATAAAAAACACCGTGAAGGTAACTCCAAATTTAGCTTAACTCTCTCAGTACAGAGGAAAATGTGACTTTATGCAAAGAGAATTGTGTCACCTGCTCTTGCACCCCACCTTCTCTGACAGGTTCACTGTCACTTTCCCAGTGAGGAGCCATAAAGGGTTGATTCAATCTGGAACCAGAGGCTATAGTGACTTGGACCCTTGGGGCCTTTCTCAGGTCCCATCACCCAATCCCAGTACTCAGAAGACTGGTGGGTTCCTGCACACACTCTGGAGTTGAATGTTCTAACAGAGAGATTAGAGTTGGGAAGAGCTGTGGGTTGCATCTGAACAAGCCACTGAAGCAGAGTCTTGAATCATCCCTGCACTGAGGCAGGATGGGAAGTCTGTAACCCGTTCCAAAATAAGCCTGACATTTGGTACCACTGTCCACCCTCACTGACTCTGGGAGGGAGAGGGGATTATGGTCATTTCAGCTCCTCATAATCCTGGAATGAAGCAGAGACTTTATGCGACAGTCAAGCCCGGCTCAGAGGCATTCAGTGACTGCATGTTAAGCAGTAATAATGGTCTGGTTATGACCTGCACTGGATACAGACGAGAAGACATGATCACTGCCTTGTCAACCAGCTGGACAAACACTGCTTACTGACACCACGACTAGAGGACACTGAGAACTTTCACAACCAAGAATGAAACTATGCTTAGTAGCAATGCATCATTAGGTGCCAATATATTTTTCTAGATAGGAGCCCTGGTGGCACCATGGTTAAGCACTCAGCTGCTAACCAAAAGGCTAGTGGTTTGAACCCACCACCTGCACCATGGGAGAAAGATGTGGAAATCTGCTTCCCTAAAGATTTATAGCCTTGGAAACCCTACGGGGCTATAGGGTCACTATGAGTTGGAATAGACTCAACGGCAATGGGATTTTTTTTTTTTTATCTATTTTTCTACAGTGAAGATACTGACACTTTTATAAGACTAAAAACCCTAAATAAATAAAGTTTAGGATACAGATTCAGTAAAATATACAGGCAGTCCCCAGGTTACAAACGTCTGACATACGTACAACCTGTAGTTATGAACCAACCCCATAAAGCCTGTTCTATTAAAAATTTGAGGTACACGCAATGATTTGTAATAACAAATGGGCACTACTTTGTGACGTGCATCAAAATAGTATTACGTTAATGATGTTTTAGCATATCTGGAAGTGTTTAACGTTTTTTATGCATAGAAAGGTCCACTATATACTACATACTAAGACAAACATTTGACTAACTGATGTTAGATACGAACCACATCTAACTGTTCTGACTTACATACAAATTTAACTTGACAGACTTAGGAACAGAACTCATTTGTAATCCGGGGAGTGCCTGTATATAGAAAATCTGAGTTTCTAATTGGAGCAACATGCTTTTTTAAAAAAGACTGGTGACTTATTATTTAGTTCATGCAACTGAACAACATAATTGTTGTGTGCTGCTTAGAATGAAACTGAAAATCATGGAAAAATGCTTTTCCTGGAATTTCTCAGTAACATACCCAGTTGCATTATTTAGAACTAATCCTTTGACCTCTATTAACAAGGGTTGCGATTCAATCAGTGGTTTTTGTGGCAAGTCCTGTAAATTGTGGGCACTCTGCCAGAGCAATCTATGAACAGAACTATAAGAAAGAATTTTTGATGGGAATATTGTGAAATATATTGTCTACAAGTTGGATTGTGGGGTGTATGAACTTTGGAATGGAATGTTTCTTTTGGTACTAATGAGAATTCTCTGAAAACAACTATGACCAGTAGTTTTTAAATAAGAACTTGTATTTGAATTTGAAATTTAGGAAGATATACCAGGTTAAATGTATGTGTGACAAGGAAGAAGGTTTATGTAATATACTCATATACACTGAAAGACACTGCAATATGAAATACTAAAGCGGATCATTAAATCACAGCACTATAGAATATTGCCTTGTTGTTGTTAGTTGCCACTGAGCTAGCTCTGACTCATGGCGACCTTAGGGTATAACAGAACGAAATATTGCCCAGTCCTGTGCCATCTTCATGCTCCTGTTATGTTTCAGTCCATCACTGCAGCTATTGTGTCAATCCATCTCACACAGGGTTTCCCTCGTTTTCACTGACTCTAACTTTACTAAACATGATATCCTTTTCTAGTGACTGGTTTTTCCTGATGTGTCCAAAGTAAGCAAGACAAAGTTTCACCATCCTTGCTTCCAAGGAGCCTTCTGGTTATATTGTCTTGGGGGACATCTACAATAATCCCTACAAGCCCAGGGAAATTGAGTGATTTAGCCATCGACACACTA